TGAACTGAAGTTAAACCACTTATAAATTGTTTGAATAAATAATTGCGGCTTGATATAAATGTATATATAAATGTATGTAGGAGCTGTCCACTTACCCCATCCACTAGTGATAGAGATGAAAAAATTCGTTGAATCAAATGACTAGACAACGTGTCACTGATGTGCTTGATTAAGCAATTTGATAATTTCATGCTATGTTATTCTACATGGAGATAAATATAACCCATTGAAATGAGTAAAGGGACGAAGGAAGTTCCATTTTTCTTTCTTTATTATTATTATTATTATTATTTGCCAGACAATAAAGAAAAAATGAATATAAAATAAAACCTTGAATCATTTTAAATCAAAACATCAATTGCGTGCAGGAGTGACTTGTGTTCAATAAGGGCATGGTGTCCCAAAGTTGGGTACCAATACCATTCATTTCTGTCTTACAAGCTACAAACAAATTTAAAAGTCTGTCCTTCAACTTATCCCATTATATTCCACCTTTAGCTTACTTTTGTAAGATGTGATATTATTCCTTCTTTATTTTATAATACCCACAAGAAGCAATCATCGTTGCTTTTTAGTAAAATATTCCAATCCCAAGGAAATGGTATTGGTCCAATAGTCAACAAGGTATCTTCCTTCTCCAGCTTGTAGTTTGCTTTAATTGGTTAGCCTAACCTAGACACAGACCAGATTCTTTCCCTTATCTTAATGCCCTTAAAAAAGAATGAACAAATGTGCTGGCTTTTGTCAAATTCTGAAGGCTACCTGCACCACCATCCCCCAATTTCCTATAGACTTCTCCTTATATAATATTCATTTTAAGGAAGGATCAAGGAACAGAGCCGTTACCTGGTTTTCTGCACGGATTCCTTTCCGTCCTCGGAAACATCCTCCCTGGAATTTATATTAGGTGAGAGGAGAAGAGAGTGAGGTGAACGTTTTAAACATAGAAGATAAGATGTCAGAAGTTTTAAACAAGCGCAAGAAATGCTGAAAGTGAATGGACTGACAAAAGGCTTGCTTGCAAGCCAAATCTATGTTATTGGTTTTAATTGCCTGAGAGAGTATATATGTCTTTCTGTTAGTACAAACCAAGTTTCTTTGATAAGGAATAAATGTGAGTACAATAAACTTGAAAGGCTGATAACATCTATCAGTTCTTTTATGGGGTAGAAGGTTCAGTATACAAAGTTAAAGGTTAAATATCAAAGATGAAGAAAGACTAATTTTGGACTGAGCTTCTGAACCTGATTATTATTTGTGAGTTTCGGCTTTCTTCAGTTCCTTGGCTGTCACAAACCCACAAAACAAAATTAATATTCTCCAAATAAAGATATATATACATAACATAAACGCATGTGCATACATCATATATGATAGGCCTAGTCCTTGTAACTTGATGGTTCTCCTTTTAAATTTGGTGCACAAAATTGAATTAACGAATGGATGAATGGTGAAAGAGAGAGCATCATGAAGTGTAGCAAAAGTGAGCCAGTGTAAAATTAAAAGGATGTAATTCAGGCCATGAGAAGCATACCAGCCTTCTCCTGTTCTCGCTTCTTAGCAGCCTCAGCTCTTTGTTGACGTATCAGGGCCAAGCGCTCTGCATTGGCAATTTTACATCAAAGTTAATGATAGAAACTTAGACATTCCATGAACATCAGGTGAATGAAATAAAATCAAACCACAGAAAATTTTCAACAAGAATTGAAAAAGATGAGATTGTATGAAAAACAAAGGTTATCAGTCAATAAAAATTTAGGATGATGCAAGCCAAGATATAATTGCAGGTTAATAAAAGTTACAAAAACTAATTCTGATAATACTCCCATGAGCTGTGCCTCATGCTTGGTGACATGCTTACCATCTTGAGATGTAGTAACATGCACCTTCTTTGCTCAAAATATTCCCTCTTTTTTAAGGGTGTAAATACTAAATAGAGAACATAGAAGGTGAGAGGAAGGTATGTTGATGTAGTCACAATCACAGATGAGGTTGACCCTAGAACAGTGATGGTGGCAAGAGAATGATAGCTAACATGCCAAAAAGGAGGATTTTCTTTCACTATACAACACATACATTTTCATCTTTTATGTCTTCAAGAGTTCATACAACAGAGAAACTAACCTATATCCGCTTTTCACTAACCAGTCTTGTTATAGTCATGTAGTTTACCACCCACCCACTGAATAGAGAAATTTTAGTCCTTAGTATAGAGGGTCAAATCAGATATAGAGCCTAAGAAAATTTTCAACAATTGAATGACTATCTTTCAGAAAAAGATACACTCCAAGTCTCCAACCAATGGTTAAAAGATAAATATTGAATAAAATTTTGAGGACCCCAAAATCAGGTAAACTTCATGAAAGGCCAATTTTCATCTCTAAGCAGCACAGAAAAGAGTAAGAAGCAGTTTGGATGCATAATGCATTTCATGAGATTATCCATCATTGTCTTGTCTATACATATTTAATTCTCATCCAACTAAGTACTGCCACTACTGCAAAAATGGTTACTTATCTGACCTAAATATTTCATTTCTGATATTTAATTAAAAATTTAAAACTGTCTAGGACAATGAATAATGAGATTCAACTCATTTCCCAGCAATGCTTTATGAGTCTCTGCATATTTGAGTGTGTGTGTGTGCCCATGTGCACGGATCTGCATGATGCAATGACTTAAAAAGGAAGACGGACTATGTTATATTTCATTTCTTCAGCCTATTCACTGATGGTATAACCAACTTCAGAAATAGACATTTGGTTAACCATAAACAAGCAAAATAAAAAACAAACTTGTGACGGGAAAAAGAACAAATTGGAATAAAATAATACTGTTGTAAAAAGTACACCTTGGTGTTAGGTGGCAGAGCACTGTGTTGCCTAGCCATTAGGCTGTGGACTTGGCGTTTGGCTCCACCATGAACAACTAGGCACACCTAATCCAATTTTTTTTTTTTTGATTTTTTTAAGAAGATGAAAAACACCTAGGCATACATATATGGCTCAATTCCAAAAAATATATATTATTTTTTTTCCAAGCATCTTAACTTCTTGGGTCCTTAACATGATGCAAAGATCCTATTTATATGGTCATTTCAATAAATATGACAAATAGCCATAAACGTGTCAGAGTCCAGCAATTACCTAAATCTTTTCTTGCTTGTTCAGTTTTCCCTTGCTCCTGCAGCCTCATATATCGCTCATGTGCCTTTTGTTTTTCTATCTCCTCTCTGCAAACATGAAAATTGAGCACAAGACATAATACCTAGCTTGTTTGCAAATGTGAAACAAGCACACAGATGAATATAGATGAAATCTAATGCTTTCATTGTCTAATAAACTCCTTGGCACATGGCAACTCCACTTGTAAAGAGAACAGACTTAATGTCCAAAACCAAACTGCATTTTGAAATGTCAAAACCTATTATTTCGTGTCCTGTCTTAAAATAATTCTGGATAAAAATAAAGGACAACTAGTTATAATCTTCCATATCACACTAAAACTTGACCAAAATAGCTAATCATAGTCCAGGTATATTAAAAGATTCTTAGATTTCTCTTTCCCCATCCACAAATGGTTGTCATATGTCTAGAACTCCCATAATACAGCTTTTGAAATGCAAACTTGTAATTTAAATGTATGTGCAAGTCGCTTAAACAAGAAAACTGCTTAAGGTTCATCCATAAACCAGTGAAGCTAAGATCATTAAGTAGCATCCATAGAATCAAATGTTAGTTTCTTGCTAAATTTTCAAGTACAAAAACTACTGGTATCATGGTAAAACTTAATAGTTGCTAGTCAGATGCTTCTCTGTCTTTTTTCCTTTTTGGCAGAAATCTGAATGATAGCACATATCGAGCAACATTCAAACCGTTAGAACTTACAAACATTATGAAGAATTCAGAAATAAAGTACTACTCTTATGTATAAATTAACAAGTGCTCAATCAGATTTGATGAACAAGAGCATTTACTAACCTTTCACGCCTTGAGAGTTCAGTTGTTTTTCCCACCTGAAAATGTGAAATTGTGATTACTCAAGCTCAAGCCAGTGATAGACTTGTATTTTTATCCATTAAATTAAAAAAAAAAAAAAAATCAAGACATGCTGCAGCCGAGGAATCTGTGCAAAACTTACATCGGCATCACCAGCCTTCATGTTCTTTTGTTTTACTAAATTAGGATTCTCAATCTCAATAAGTCCCTGAATTCCCTTTCTTTTCTGCCATATTTGAGCCAATTTCAAAAAGGAAATTCATAGAAAGAACAGCAAATGAGATTATAAAGAAGGTGATTTATAAATCAGACGAAAAAGACACAAATATGGTGAATCATAGAGTAAAAGGACCTCAGTCTCATCTTCTACTTCCTCTTCAGACTCTTCTTCTTGTTGTTGTTCTACCTCAGCTTCTTCCTGGTGTGTTTAAGGGAAAAATTTACCATCTCAAATGCCAATTTACATGAACATTCAAAATGAACATCCATATGCAGTTGCATGAAGAAGAAGAAGAAGAAGCAAGAGTGCATAGGCAAGGGAGATGGGGAAGCATCGAAACAACAAAGGATGCAAATAAATTATAAGGTGGAGAAAATTTCAGTAAGGGAAGATACAGAATCAGTATAAATAAGTATGACATGTGAACAAGAAACTTAAAAGATACCATTTAAACATAACTGAGATGTAACTAATAAATATTAGTCTAATGTTCAATGCCGAACAAAATCAATCTTCTTTCTTAAAGGTTGATAACGAATCAATAATACAAGCCAAATGGCACCCATGATCCACTCTTGTTCCCTATTACTTTATAATTCCCATTGAATAATTTAAGGATAATTATATGAAAGAAAATACCAATACACTAATTTCAATACTCATCTTTTAAAACATATCACTTATGAACCCTTTGCTCTAGCATCAATTTAGAAATCTATTCGGAAGTATTGGCTAACTAATACACTACTTTATGCATGTGGAACTTTCCATTAATCTAAATTTACTTATTTTGGCTACAAGAAACTACCATAAAAGATAAACTGATTATGAAAGGGGAAATAATTAAGCAACACATAAATCTCCAAACAACGAAAGAACCTTAATACACACAAGCTCGAAATCTTACCTTCTTAAAAGTACGAGGACGAGCAGAGCTTCCTGCAACTGCAAACATATATTCAGAACACAAACAAAAAGATCAGCAAACTAACTTGAAAAATCAATCATTAATCGCAATATCCAAATCTTAAAAAATTGCATTTGCAGCTCCTCCGAGTTCATGATTCTTTTTCCTCTTTTATTTAATTTTCTTTGAATTTACTACAGACTAGCTGAAAATTAACAATCATCAATCAAGAACCGATAATTAAAAACTATCGGTATTATACCAATAAAAAAGAGTTAATGTTCCAAGCGACTGGTGAAGGTTATTTAGATCTGCAGAAATATATAGAGACATAAATAAACAAGCGGAGGAGGGAGGAGGGAGGAGTGAGGAGGGAGGTTACGGAGCTCTTCCGGCGTAGAGAAGTGGCGGTGGCCGGTCGGCTTGCCCTTGAACTTTCCTCTTCCCATTTTCTCAAGGTATTCGGGTTGCAATATGAGGGGAGTGCGCAGGAAAGAGTATGGAATTTATGCTCTTGGATTCAGCTCTCCCGAAGATGTAGTTTAAATCTCTCCTTTGCAAAGTTCGTTGGGCGTCAGAATTTAAAAGAGTTTAGGAGTGTCATTTCACGCGCCGCATCCTTTTGAAATATATAAATACATATAGATATTTGAACGGTGGGAATAGTGGGGAATAGTTTTAATAATATTGTACTTGTCCGTTCACCCTAATAAAGAAGTTATGGGTTGTCTTTAATATTATTATTATTATTATTATTATTTTTTTAACAAGTTATCAATGTGAGCTCGAAGCCGTATATAAAAAAAGGGAATGTGCTTCGAATTGGTAGGGTACTGATTGACCCAAAAAGTCAAGTGTAGGTTGTG